TACTTACAACTGTAAACTTACCTTTGTCCACCCCTGTGAAAACACCAGCCTGGATGAGGGGATGATGGCTGTTTTCAGACTGGCCACACCCCCTTCAGGGTGGGGGTCCCGCTTGGGTGCCTGGTCAGCCTGGATGACAGGCTGATGGCTGTTTGTGGCTAATCACACCCCCTTCAGTGTGGGGTCCCCACTGGGGTGCCTGACTAGCCTGGTGAGGGGCTGAGGGCTGTTTTCAGGCTGGTGGGCGACTGAAGCTCCCAGCCTGTCCTTTTTCCTTCTTTTTTTTATTCTGGGATTTATTTACCTTCTATGGATGTCACTGGCGCTGAGAGCCGGCTTTAGCTCTGAGGCCGATGCCGGCTGAAAGCAGGTACCTGGGTTTGTTTAGATTCTATAATTGAAACTCTGTTGCCATCACTGGCCGCTCTAAGCTCTGAGGCCGTGCTGGCTGAAAGCAGGTTTCTAAAGTTTGTTGAGGTTCTATAATTGCAACATTGTTGCATCCGGAGCTCAGAGCCCAGCAGCGGCAGGCAGGCAGGGAAAGTTGGCTTCCTCCATCACTGGAGCAAGCAAGCCTCATGTTCGTTTTAGCTGCCTGGCTGTGGGGCCGCCATCTTGGCTGGCAGTTAATTTGCATATCTCGCTGTTAGCCAATGGGAAGGGTAGCGAAGTTACAGCTAATTACCATGTTTCTCTATTATTAGATAGGATATGTAGAGAATTTTAAAAACAAATTTTCTGAAAATATACTTTTAATGAAAATTTATGCAATTTAAGCTGAGTGCTGAGTTATCTTTAGGAGCTTTAATGTTGACTAAGGTTGTTTTTCCCATTAGCATCAATTTTAAAAATTAGTACTAAAGATAAATATACTTACGTTATCATTGACTTCTCTGTTTCACTTGCCCTGAATTTTTTGACTTGTGCTTGATTTTAGAAAGTTCCATATTTAATTCCTTCTCCTGAAGCAGGTTTTTTGCTGAACTGCTGAGCCTTGGCAGTGGGCGCCTTTGAGGCTTAGAAGTGCCTCAGGATTCTGTCGGCCAGCTGCCATGCTTTCTTCTTTTGGAGCACTATGACAGTCAGCAGAGAAGATCCTGGGGGCTTCTGAACCCGAAGGCACCTGCTACCACCGCTCAGTGAAAATTGCTTCAGAGGCAGAAGCAGGTAAATACATTTTGAGAAAGCAATCCCGGAAGAAACAAATTGAAAGCTGAAAACTAAGAAAAGATTGTGTGCATTGACATTAGGTGAGGGCATAAGAGTAAATTGAAATAGTTTCTTAGTCTCTTAAGCCACCTTGCTGGTTTCTCTAGCTTGTTTGTTTATTTTTCTCTAGTTTATTTTTAAGTTGCCAGAAATATGAAGCAGTTTAATTTTGCAAAGATTTTGCATACCTATTATATATAGAAGCTTATTTTATTTTTATAAGTCTGAAGAGAAAACAAGTTATAAACTTGCGACTCAATTTACTGAAATTCTTCCTTTCTTAGCCAGGAGAAGAAATCTTTAAAAATAGTGGGCCTGTTGAACTAGAAGAGCACAGTAGCGTTTGGCATGATTGGATTTCCTAATTTTAACTGCTGCATGACAAAGTTCAAAATAAGAGTTTTATTTTCTTGTGATCATAAAAATGAAAATTATTCTGAAAAGTAACTTATGGATGTTAGAAAAGGAACTACATGGAGTATTTGGTATGCTTGTACAGCTGAATGTATCAGTAGTTCTCCTCTTTTTGCAGGTTTCCAAGCAACAATCAGTGCTCCACACATGGTAAGTGAACTTTGGTCATTTTGACTAATGAAGTCATTTCATTCTCTAATAAAGCAAAAGAGCAGAGTGATGCCACTGATTGACAGTTATATACAAGATTAAGAGTTTACCAAGTAACACTAAATAGAAATAAAAGATCAATTAATTGTTACTTTTACCTTTATAAATGACTGTGAAGTACCTTAAAGAGTAACAGCAACAAGTCATTGTGCTGTAATGGTTGACTTTTTCTTAATGTAAACAGTATACATTTCATTTGTAAATCCTTTAGAATTTATAAAGTACTTTTTTAATGCATCATGACTTTTATTCACAATGATACTTCTGTGGAGAAGGCAGGATAGGAACAACTGTTTTTCTCTCCATATTAATGATATGGAAACTGAGAAACCATGAGCTAAAAATAATTTCCAATGTCACGGGGCTAATAAATTCAGAACCTGTCGAATCCAGTACTTAATGGCGTTTAATCCAGAACTCTTTTTCATAGTACTGGTTGTTTTCACTCTTTAGATAAGAATCTTTGCAAAAGAATCAATGTGATTTCCCTTTGCTGAACCATTTTAAAGCAAATTTCAAACATAATATTTCACCCCTAGATACTTTAGTATAAATATAAAAAACTTTAAAAGTACAACTACAATACCACATCATACCCAACAATATTCCTTAATATTGTCTTAACTGGTAATATTGGTTGTCTTTAGGGAGTGAAACTGGTTGGGGATGGGGATGGGAATGGGGAAGGTTGGAACAGGGTTATGATAGAGATTTCACTGTAAGTCCTTTTATAACTTTTGACTTTGCAGTAATTACATTTTAAAATTCACACATTGGAGATAAAAAGTTACTGAAACATTTTAAATAAATGTAAGAATTCAATCAGTGAGAATTTTCTTAAGTAATTCCTGTGTAGATGTATGTACTATATGTTTTCGTTGTTTCGATAGATGACAATAGTAGTAACATTGGTATGAAGTTGGCAACTTTATTCATATGCCATGGTATATATACTTTATATTCTTTTTTTAAAATATATTTTTATTGATCTCAGAGAAGAAGGAAGAGGGAGAGAGAGATAGAAACATCAATGATGAGAGAATCATTGATCAGTTGCCTCCTGCATGCCCCGCACTGGGGATCAAGCCCGTAATTTGGGCATGTGCGCTTGACCGGAATCAAACCCAGGACCCTTTAGTCCGCAGGCCGACGCTCTATCCACTGAGCCAAACCAACTAGGGCAGTGGTCGGCAAACTCATTAGTCAACAGAGCCAAATATCAACAATACAAAAATTGAAATTTCTTTTGAGAGCCAAATTTTTTAAACAAACCATATAGGTAGGTACATTGTTTTTAACTTAATTAGGGTACTCCTAAGGCTTAGGAAGAGCCACACTCAAGGGGCCAAAGAGCCACATGTGGCTCGCGAGCCGCAGTTTGCCGACCATGGACTAGGGCATATACTTTATATTCTTGAAAAAAGTGAATATTGCTTTGTTTTCTTTTGGCAGCATGCATATGCACTAGAACTTCTATTTGATCAACTGCATGAAGGAGCTAAAGCTCTTGATGTAGGATCTGGAAGTGGAATCCTTTCTGCATGTTTTGCACGTATGGTAAGACCTTTATTTTTCATTCTGGCCCCAACAGAAGCATAGTTTTACATGTCCTACTTATGATTTGACTGTATATTTTTTTCATTACCAGTTTCTGAAGGTGTTTTTTTTTTTTTTATTTAAAGAAATTCTACCGAGAAAGCAGTTGGAATATATATCACTAGGATTTTTTTTTTATTGTTGTTGCAAGTAACAGAACAGTCTATCTAAACTGGCAGAGCTAAAAGGGAATTTATTTGGTTTATATCATGGAAACATTTTAAGGTGTATCTGGTTTCTTGTGTGGCTGGATTCAGATCCGATAATGTTATTGACAGTGATTTTCTCTGTGGTCCTTGGTTTGGCTTTCTTTTTCTCCACATGTTGGCTTCATTATCAGAGTGGCTCTTCTCTTGTGGTCAAAGATGGTATGGTAACCAGTAGCTCCCAGACTACATTCTTTCAAGTTTTCATCTGGCAGAAAATAAACACTCCTACAGGTTTATTAGGAACGAGGGTAGAGATTCCTTTACAGTAAGAAAAGTACTCTTAGAAAAATGCCTTGTTTATTATACTTCATTATTCACCAGAGGCTTATCTGGTAAATGACCACCAGAGTGTAAGTCTGGAGGTCCATTCACACACCTTGAGGAAGGGTTCATTTGCACTCAGATAATCAGATCAAGTTAATTATGGAAAATCTTGTCCCTGGAGGCCAGATTGGAAGTTTCTGGTTTAGTTAAGTTGGAACTTATGGATCCATCTTGGACAAGAATCCATTTAACTTGCTAAATGTATAATCAGCAGACCACTAGCATGTAAGTTCCAGGGAGCTGGGAGTTTCGTCTGATTTTTCTCCTGGGCATGTCTTAAACATCCAGAACAGTGTCTTGTACATAAGGATTCAGATAGTTCAGTATTTTTAACTTGTTTTGTACAAGTTAAGCATCACCAATGGGATGTAAGGGACTATTTTTTTTAAAGCTTAGAAATATTTAGTGAGAGATTTTCTATATTTGACATATAAGAGGAAAATTTATTTTTTAAAAATCATTAAATTTTTTAGTTTTCTTTTTAACAATGAAGTAATTCAAGTTAATGATTTTAGCACATTTAACACGTGCTAGTCAGTGTTCTAAATGCTTTTCTTGTATTCTCTTATTCAGTCCTCACATCATTTATGAGGTATATAGCTTTTACTTCTCATTTTACAAAGCTGAGGAACCTGATTCATAGAATCCCTTGCCAAGGTTATACACTTGTAAGTAATGAAACTTAGATATGAACCCAGGTAGTCCGACATCAGTCTTTATTATGTTAAAATTTTTTTGCAATTAATGTTTATATTGGGGCCTTTTTATAATTTTTTATGTATTTTATACTTTCCACAAAATGGCAGTAGAATCGGGTATAAAAATCCCTATTAAAATTACTTAAATCTCTATAAAATGTCATGTAACATTTATATATATTTTAATCCTCATGGGAGGATATGTTTATTGATTTTAGAGAGAGGATGAGAGAGAGAAACATCAATCAGTTGCCTCCCATACTCAACCTGACAGGAGATCAAACCCACATCCTTTTCGATGTATGGGACAACGCTCCAACCAACTGAGCCACCCAGCCAGAGCTGTAATTTTAATATTTAAAGTCACACTTCTAGATTTACTTTGAGTAAAAATGATTGCATTAACTATTTAATATTGGCAGTTAAGTCCTCCATCATGGTGCTGGATTTAAAGATTATAAATTGAAGAATGATAGCATTTTTTTAGTATTATAATTAAAATTTATTCTAGCTTTTTAATTAGTGAAATATAATTAATTCATTTGTGAGTTAGAGTTGAGAAGATTGTAATAGCTAAATAATTTATAATAAACCTAATTGTCTTCATTTCTCATTGCCCAATATAACTTTACATTAGGAAGTACTTTAATGACATTTAGAACAACAAATTTAGACCAGTGAGCTATTGAATTATTCTCATTTCCAGGTTGGAGCTAGTGGAAAAGTCGTAGGAATTGACCACATTAAAGAGTTAGTAGACGACTCAATAAATAATGTCAGAAAGGACGATCCAACACTTTTGTCTTCAGGGAGAGTGCAACTGGTTGGTGAGTATCAGAAAACTTAAAAAATTTCCTCTCTGCAGAATTTGTATTTTCAGATGTTCCAGTACAGCTAAACAATAGAGCTAACTGCTGCATTTTTAAAACATTCACTTCAAAGTACTAAGTAAGAAAAGCAGTTACTTAAAAATGTTACGCTAGTTCTACCTTAACCATTGGTGACATGACTGTTAACTGTTTCAGAAAGTGCCATGTTGAGTTAGTTCTTTCTTCATTGCTTTTTAAGTAATGGCAAAGTAACAAGTATTCATTATAAAAAAATGTAAACAATGCAGAGATGTGTAAGATAAAAAAGCAAACCACTCCTTTTCCCTTTTAAGTTTTCTAGACATATAAATATATGTATGAATAAATAGTACACACAGTTTTCTTTAACTCATACTATATATATTGACCTATAGTTTACTTTTTTCCATTCAGCAATATACAATGGACATATTTCCATAGGAGTACATTTTGTATTGTGAAAAATAAAAAAACATTAAAAATGCATAAAGCATAAATGTGAAGCTTAATATCTGTTTAATTGCCACACTAATCAAGAAATGGAACATTATTCGTACCTTGGATATCCTCAAGTTTCTTTTTTCCTCATCATAACTCCCTCCCTTCTTCCTAGGGGAAACCAATATTATTATTTCCATGCATTTGCTACCTAATTGTACATCAAAAAAAAAATGTTTCCTTTAATTTTGAACTTTAGACAAATGGAATCATGCAGTATACATTCTATGATGATTAACTTCTTTCATTCAGTATTTTGTGTGTAAGATTCACCCATCTTTCTGCATGCAGTTCATTTTTATTACTGTACAGCATTCCATTGTAAGAACATCACCAAAATTTGTTAATTCTACTGTAGATGTGTATTTTGGTTGTTTCTAACTTGGGGATATTCACAATGCTGCTGTGACCACATGTATACCTAAGTCCAGATTCATAAATACATTATACAGTATGTAGGAGTGTTATTGTATGTTCACAGGGTTCCCTTGGATATTGCAAAACTGTTGTTGTTTTTTTAAGTGATTGAACCACTTTACATTCCCACCAGCAATGTATCAGGGTTCCTATTGTTCTACATCTCTACCAGCACTTGGCATTATTAGATTTTTCTTTGTGCCTACTTAGTGAGTGTATAGGAGTATCTCTGTGATTTTAATTATGTATTTTACCATTAACCAGTGAGGTTGAACACTTTTTCATATGTTTGGGCATTTAAATTTCCTTTTTTGTGAACTGCCTGTTCAGATGCTGAGTTGTTTATATTTTTCTTTGAGTTGTAGAACTTCTAGAGACTAGCTCTTTGTCTATTTATGCATATTATAAATCTCTTCTCCCACTATGTGGCATGCCTTTTCATTCTCATATTGGTACTTTTTTGATAAATAGAAATCTTAATTTTAATGTAGCTAGACTTAACAATTTTTTCCAATGCTTCCTGTGTCCTGCTTAAGGCTACTCTGAAATCATGAAGACATTCTTATTATTTTTCAAAAGCTTTGTTATTTTAGCTTTTCATACTTAGGTATTTGATCTTCCTGACATTGATTTTTGTGTATGTATGAGGTGTAGGGGTCCAAGTATATATTTTTCCCATATGCATATTCATTTGTCCAGCATCATTTCTTTAAAGAAACAAAAAACAAACAAAAGGAGTTGTTTGTTTAAAAACAAACAAAACTATTCTTTCCTGCTGTAAAATCTTCACACTAAGTCGTTCTGTCTGAACAGGTATTAAAAGCATAATGTTTTTCTTCCAGTGGGGGATGGAAGAATGGGATATGCCGAAGAAGCCCCTTATGATGCTATTCACGTAGGCGCCGCAGCCCCCGTTGTGCCCCAGGCAGTGAGTTGTTTCTTTCTGTGTTTGTGTGCTTTATTCAACTAAAGCTCTCAAAGGTTTATAGATAAGTGACTTCTAGACGTTAAGAACATAGACTTTTATGTCATGCATTTTAGTTACAGTTAGTAGGTAATACTTTTTCCACCTGCAAATAGTTGTATAAATGACAACAAGGTTACTAAACCCCAGCTCATGTCTGTCTTTTGAAGCAGTATTTTATCCAGCAAAGAATGAGTACCAGTGGAATTGGGAAAATACCTTTGGAGTTCATGACCTGATAATCACTTAGCATTTATTAAATACCAGAATATGCAAGACTATTAGGTTCCTGGGAGAGACCAGGGATATTTGTCATATATTTTACCCTCACAAAGCTTAGAAGAGATGTATCATACATGTAACAGGGAGATTAGTGATGTGATATCATATCATTAGCATATGACATATATTGAATGAAAAATAAAATCCTACTGTAGGAGTTCAAGGTAGCAAAAAGAATTTGCATAGAGTGGTCAAGGAGACTTCATACAAGAATGGAACTTGAACAGATCTTCAGAATGGGAGAACTTTCATTGCTACAATGAGAGAGAAGGATATTGCAGTATTGTATATTACAGTATAGTCAAGGAAATATTTAAGTACAAAATTGATTTTTCATTTTGTAAGACTCTGATAAGCTTGTATCAGCCCTTAGTAATCCTTGGTTAATCTTGGGTTAACCACAGAAACCCTCACTGAAATCTTGGGTTTCTGTTACATAGGAGTTTTACATAGTTATTGACTAGATGACTAGTCACATTGTCTTTTCAGCCGGGTCTCATCCACTCTCCAACCTGGGAAGATTGTTTTTGTATGTTTAGATCAGTTATGAGAAGCTGAAAGTTGGAGAATTTGTTCTAATCATTGACTTCTACTTACTGGCTAAATGACTTTGGGAAAATCATTTATTCTCTCTGGCTCTGTCATCTGTATTTTGGGGTGTTTTTTTTTAAGACAAAACCAGTGGATTTTAAACACATTTTAATTGAAATAGTAACATGGTGTAGAAAAGTATACAAGTCAAAAAAACCCAAACCTATAGAATAAAGAGGTAATATGCAAATTAACCCTCACGCCCTCACAAGATGGCTGCCTATGACCAGGCTGGCAGGGGGGTTAGTGAGGGACAACCAAACGACTGAACAAGCAGGCTGCATGGGGCAACCTGGCTTGCGGGGGGTTAGTGAGGGGTGACCAGCCCAGCAGGGGGCTTAGTGAGGGACGACCAAATGACTGAATAGCAGGCTGCATGGGACGATCAGGCTGCCAGAGGGGGAGAGTTGGGGGTGATCAGGCCGGCAGGGGGAGCCAGTAAGAGGTGACTAGGGCTGGGGGACAGTTAGGGGTGACCAGGGGAACCAGTAAGAGGCAACTGGGGGGGCAGTTAGGGGTGACCATGTTGGCAGGGGGTTCCAGTTGGGGGTGACCAGACTGGCAGGGGGGCAGTTGGGGACGATTAGGCTGGCAGGGGGGAGCAGTTGGGGGCAACCAGGCCAGCAGGGGCATAGTAAGGGGTGACCAGGCCAGTGGGGGTCATAGCAGTTAGGAGCAACCAGGCTGGCAGGGAGAGGGCAGTTAGGGGCGATCAGGCTGGCATGCAGAGGCAGCGAGGGGCGATCAGGCCGGCAAGGCAGGGAAGTTAGGGCAACCAGGCAGACAGGCAGGTGAGCAATTAGGAGCCAACAGTCCAGAATTGTGAGAGGGATGTCTGACTGCCAGTTTAGTCCCCCAAGGGGTCTGGGATTGGAGAAGGTGCAGGCTGGGCTGAGGAGGCCTCCCCCAACCTCCCTCCACCCCCACACAAATTTCATGCACTGGGCCTCTAGTATGTCATAAATCAGCGGTTCTCAACCTGTGGGTCGTGACCCCTTTGGCGGTCGAACGACCCTTTCACAGGGTTGCCTCAGACCATCCTGCATATCAGATGTTTACATTATGATTCATAACAGTAGCAACATTACAGTTATGAAGTAGCAACGAAAATAATTTAATGGTTGGGTCACAACATGAAGAACTGTATTTAAAGGGCCAGAAGGTTGAGAACCACTGTCGTAAATAAATAGCTCAAAGAATTTTCATATATGAACACACATGATCAGTAGCTTGTGTTTGTTTTTTTTAAAAAAAACGCCACATATTTTTATTGATTTCAGAGAGGAAGAGAGAGGGAGAGAGAGAGAGAAACATCAGTGATGAGAGAGAACCATTGATCAGCTGCCTCCTTCATGCCCCCACTGGGGATCAAGCCTGCACCCCAGGCATGTGCCCCCGACTGGAATTGAACCCACGACCCTTCAGTCCGCAGGTGGACACTCTATCCACTGAGCCAAGCCAGCTAGGCAGTAGCTTGTTTTTTTAACTTAAAAAAGAATATCAGCTGCCTGGTACAAACAATTAAAATCTCAAATAGAAATGTTTAAATGAAGGGGCTTGGGTACAGGACTCATGTTTTCTACTAAGACCCTGAGATGATCTCAGAGGACATTTCTAGCTTTAGTGCAATATGATTTTAAACACAGTAGCACTTGTAAGTATGATAGGGATATTTTATATAGGCTGAAGGGGCTTTCCAGTTGTAAGATAACGGAGTAAAGATGTCTATGCTCCTCTTTGATGTCACCCCAAAACAAGTAGAAAAACAAAAACAGGAACGTAAATTCTCTGTAGGGGAGTATACTTGCAGTCCTGAACTCTGAAATGTGTGAAGATAGAAAGGAAATGGAGTAATAATTGACCCGGGAAGGTGGAGGAAGTGAAACCAAAGAGGCAGCAGAGGCTGTCAATGCAGAAGTAGTTTGCAGAAGAAGCTTAGAAATTGGAGGCAGCGGTACCTGGGAAATCAGAGAGGAGGCCTGGGTCTGTAAAGAGGGGCTTGAAATTCTTACAAGAAACAATTAGCCCCTAAGTCTTAAGTAAGAAAGTTTTCAGGAACTGAAGGACATGATTCTATAGTTTGAAAAGAACTGAGTGTCCAGTACAATTAACTTTTTAAAAGGAAAAAAGAACCATAATATCACTATGAAATTTCAGAATACTAAGCACAAAGAAAAGATTCTAAAAGTTTTTAGAAAAACAAAAAGGATAAATCTGTTAAGGATTGGTAATCAGAAAGGCACCCGACTGCAGAATAGCAGCATTAGAATCAACAGGACAAGGGAACAGACCATCACAGTTCTAAACAGAAAATGATTTCTAACCTTGAATTCTATACGCACACATATTGCCAAATATGTAAACTAAAGATAGTTTTAGACTTGCAAATCTCAACCACTCTCTCTTAAATATTCCATGCACTATTTCACTGAATACTTCTGGAGGAGTTGCTTTAATTACATCAGAAAAAAAGTGAGGAAGGAGAGAGAGTAGCAGAAACCAAAACTAGGAAGCCAGAGGATCTAGGAAGCTGGGCATTGTTTTCAGGAGAGAGGTGATGAGTGAGAATTGAGTGATAAGTTTAACAAAGTACATGTGTACCAAATAAAGTACATTTATACTTTCTGCCCATGGACACTGAAGGCTGGTCATAAAGATGAAAAAAATCTATAACTTCGTATGTATGTGTTTTTTCTTTTTGTTTCTCTTAGCTAATAGACCAGTTAAAGCCTGGTGGAAGATTGATATTGCCAGTCGGTCCTGCGGGTGGAAATCAGATGCTGGAGCAGTACGACAAGCTGCAAGACGGCAGTGTCAAAATGAAACCTCTGATGGGAGTGATATACGTGCCTTTAACAGATAAAGAAAAGCAGTGGTCCAGGTGGAAGTGATTTTACCTTCTGCTCTTTCTTCTTCCACACATGCAAGGTGAAAGGGTGTGGATTTTAAGACATTAGCCTGCAAGAGCTGCTTTTTTAGTCATTACTTTTATGCTGCTCCATTTTAACATCAGAAATTCACTACATTAAAAATGTAGAAAAGTTGCATGGTCTGCCCTTTTTTTGGTTAAACTCACATCTTTGGGGAAGGGAGGGTGAGACTTGGCTGGCACAAAGGTGTTTTTTTAAACTGCAGTTTAGTGCTAAGGAGATTTCATCATCCGCCACTGTTTCTATATTTTCAAATCATTTGTATAGATGCTGTGTGGTCATGGAAGCAAAAAGAGAAGGGGCCATCATTTCCTGCCCCCTCCACTCTCTACTGTAACATTGTTGTAAAGAGAAAGAAGGGAAAAGATATTCTTGTCCCAGTTTTCCAAGGTGTCAGAATCCCAGAGAGGACATTCATCCTCTCAGCTTGACTTCTCTGCCAGTCAGTTTCCTAGGTGTCCGACAGCCGGCGCCTGTTTCATATTCAGCTGTTGTTTCAGAGCCACTATAACAAGTAACTTATTGCCGTTCTAATACAGGCAGGCCAATTTTTAACCCACTTTAAGTTCCTGGGGAGGGAAGGGGAAGGGTTTCTGTCAACTCAAAACGAGTGCCCAGGTCTCACAAACCCCCCCCAAAGGGCCAGCAGCATGCAGCATAGTCTCCAGCACAGCATGGCTCATTACGACACCCATTTTGTTGTACCTCTCAGCGTAATCGGAATATTTTGTTTGAAGCCAAGATTTCTTCTTCCCACTCCCTCCCATGGGGAGGAATGCGGTCAGAAAGTAAAAGTGACTTAGCTAAGACCACTTGGAATTAAATGCCAAAATAAGAAAGGCTTTACAGTTTCCTTGTTTTAGAGTATATTTTTATTTGACAGAGGTATTTATTTTAAGACCATTATTTTCTTAATAAGTAACATGGGATTGTTAAATCTAAGTATAATAGATTTCTCAATTTTGTTTTTGAATGAATGTTTAATTGCAAAAATGGTAATGAATGTGACTCAGTTTGTTTAAACTGAGTTTTACTTTTAACTAAATTCTGATTGGCCATTTCTGGGATATCTTACTAGGAATTGCATTTTATTCTTCACCTAATGTAGTTATAAAGTTGTTTTCTTTGAATTCTAATCTGGAGCACAGCCACTTCTTAAAAACAAACTAAAAAGCTATCAGTCTTGTCAGTAATAATCAGATGTAGTTTAACAACAAATTACAATCTTCCTTCACTTTTCTTTTAGTATAGTTATACCATTATATATTTGTTGGATTGTTATTGTATAAAGGGGGAAACATATTGAAATTCAATATTGAATAAGAGTTCAGATTTTTATTTATGTTTAAAGTTTTATATACAATAAATATTGGTATTGAGCATGCTATCTATAATTTAATGAAGGAAAAGGTATTTTGTTTTTCTAATTAGAGGTGGGTTTTTTTTATTTTACTGATTTCATAGAGGAAGGGAGAGAGGGAGAAAGAGAAGCATCAATGATGAGGGAGAATCATGGATTGACTGCCTCTTGCATGCCCCCACAGGGGATCAAGCCTGGAACCCGGGCATGTGCCCTGACCAGGAATTGAACAGTGACCTCCTGGATCTATGAATCACACTTGGAAGGCCAGAGGTGGAATTTTGTTGTTGTTAATCCTCACCTGAGGATATTTTTCTATTGGTTTTTAGAGAGAGCTGAAGGGAGGACGAGAGACAGAGACTAACACCAAGAGAAATTTGTTTTGTTATTAAACACTTTTCAGTTTGAGGACCTTCTTATTATATTTATTCAGTAAGTATGTGTGTGCCCACTATGCCAGGCACTGTACTAGTTCAGGAATATACAGCTGTGACTTTTTTTTTTAAAATATGTTTTATTGATTTTTTACGGAGAGGAAGGGAGATAGATAGATAGTTAGAAACATCGATGAGAGAGAAACATCGATTAGCTGCCTCCTGCACATCTCCTACTGGGGATGTGCCCGCAACCCAGGTACATGCCCTTGACCGGAATCGAACCTGGGACCTTTCAGTCCGCAGGTCGACGCTCCATCCACTGAGCCAAACCGGTTTCGGCTACAGCTGTGACTTTGAAACTGACCATTCATAGACATATGGGAGATCAAAAAAAAACACAACAAATCAAAAGACAAGACAGACAGGCCATTGCTGGCATACCTTGTTTTATTGTGATTTGCTCTATTGTGCTTTGCAGATACTGTTATTTTACAAATTAAAGGTTTGTTGGCAACTTTGGGTTGAGCAAGTCTGTCGGTGCCATTTTTCCAACAGCATTTACTCATTTGTGTGTCTGTGGTACATTTCAGTAATTCTTAAAATATTTCAGACTTTTTTTATTGCTATATTTGTGATGATCTGAGATTTTTTTTTATCTGTGGTTTTTGATGTTGCTATTGTAATTGTTTTGGGTTGCCACGAGCCACACCCATATAAGATGGTTAACTTAATTGTTAATTGTTGTTTGTGTTCTGACTGCTCCACCAACCGTCTGTCTTCTCTCTCCCTCTCCTTGAGCCAATTAATAATCCTACAATGGCCTCTAAGTCAGTGGTTCTCAACCTTGGCTGCACATTAGAATCACCTAGGAATCTTTTTAAAATTCTGATTTCTGGGCCTCATCCTCCGGAAATTCTCTTTCTTTGTTATGAGGTGGAGCCACAACCTTAGTAACAAAGAGACAGAATTTCCAGAGGATGGGGCCCAGGAATCAGGATTTTAAAAAGATTCCCAGGTGATTCTAATGTGCAGCCAAGGTTGAGAACCACTGTTCTAGAAGAAATCAGGCTATGGCCACGC